ATTTACTCCTGATTTTAAATATTTGAATCAAATCCTAAATTTCTCATCACTCTTTGTTTGTCTTCTTCTTTAACTAAAAGAATTTTCTTTTTGCATGTTTCTCTTTCTTTTTCTCAAAATAAAAAACAATTGAGCTTCGAATATAAAATCAGAAAATATAGTACAAAAAGCAGGGGGAATAAAGGATTCTATTTTTTTTAGTTACTGATCATTTTGTGTTTAACCCATTTTGAAAATATCATTAGTTTCAATTTTTCTAGCTGGACAAGCTGGCTAGATTGTACATGTCAGAGATTGTTAGATTGAATGGTGTTCCGTTATCTATCATTTCTGATTGAGATCCAAGATTCACTTCGAAATTCTAGAAGGCATTGCATAGGGCTCTGGGTACGAGATTGGATTTTAGTATAACTTTCCATCCACAGACTGATGGTCAATCTGAGTGAGTAATTCATGTCATAGAGGATATGTTGCAGGGCTGCGTGATTGATTTTCATGGTAGTTGGGAGAACTTTTTGCCTCTGACTGAGTTTGCTTACAATAACAGCTACCAGGCTAGCATTTGTATGGCACCGTACGAATCACTCTATGGGCGTAGATGTCACACCCTGATTTGTTAGACTGAGTTGCGTGATCATAAGACTTTGGGACCTGAGTTAGTGCGTGAGACGGAGGACACAATCATATTGATTTGTGATTGCCTGAAAGAGAATTTGACAGACAAAAGTCTTATGCTGACCATAGGAGGAAAGATATTCAATTTGAGTTAGAGATCAGGTCTTTTTAAAAGCATCTCCATGGTAGAAAGTACTGAGATTTGGGTAAAAGGGTAAATTGAGTCCAAGATTTATTACATCATTTCGTATCTTGAAGAGAGTAGGACATGTTGCATACCAGCTCGTGTTGCCTCCCAAGCTCAGTCGTATCCATGATGTATTTATGTGTCAATGTTGAGGTTCTATCGTCTGGACCCAAGTCACAACATTCAGTTAGAGGATGTTGAGTTGAGACCAGATTTATCATATGATGAGGAGCATGTACAAATCTTGGATCGAGATGAGAGAGCGTTGAGGAACAAGCATATTTCGATGGTAAAGGTCCAGTGGAGGAACCGAGGTCCTGTAGATGCCACATGAGAGACAGAAGAAACCGTAAAGACTCAGTTTCCACATTTGTCTACTCTAGGTAAATTTCGAGGACGAAATTGCTTTTAGAGGGGAGAATTGTCACAACCCAAATTTTTAGGAAAAATAGAGAATTAATTAAAGATTTATTTGGTAATTTAAGGACTAGATTGAAATCTGATGAAGTTAACATACCATTTTAGGAAGTTTTGATGAATGAAATGACTAAAATAGGAAATTAACCATTTCTTATTACCACTAAAAATATAATTACCTGATTAGGTAAACCCCAAATTATTTCCCAAAATCCCTAAATTTCCCTAATTTTCTTTAACCTTAACCATAATTGTCGCTTTCCACGGTCGATTCCCTGCCGTCAGGCTATCTCTGACTGTCATCATCGCCCACATTCGACACGTCATCATCCAGCGAAAAAAAGCCCAACCCCTAATTTACCGTGAAAAGACATCTAACGCCACGAAACCCCGTCAGAAGCTTCACATTTTCCCCCAGCGTGCCTTGATTTTTCGGTGATTCCGATCGAACTGACGAGTGTCGTGCCTCATCGCTTCCACCACCTTATTCAACGACGTCGTACGACCAAAACCCAATCGATTTAGTCCCTCATCGTCACGCCTTCATTAACCGTCGTTGGTGGTAAGTTGATTTTTTTTAATAAATTTGATGTCTTTCATGTGTCGATGTTGAGGTTCTATCGTCCGGACCCAAGCCACATCATTCAGTTAGAGGATGTTGAGTTGAGACCAGATTTATCATATGATGCGGAGCTTGTACAATCTTGGATCGAGATGAGAGAGCACTAAGGAACAAGCATATTCCGATGGTCAAGGTCCAGTGGAGGAACCGAGGTCATGCAGATGCCACCTGGGAGACATAAGAATCCGTAAAGACTCAGTTTCTGCATCTATTTACTCCAGGTAAATTTAGAGGATGAAATTTCTTTTAGAGATGAAGAATTGTCACAACCCAAATGTTTAAGAAAAATTAGAGAATTAATTAAAGATTTATTTGGGTAAAATTTAGGGACTAGATTGAAATCTGATAAAGTTAGTAGACCATTTTAGGAAGTTTTGATGAATGCAAGGACTAAAATAGGAAATTAGCCATTTCTTATTACCAGTAAAAATATAATTACCCGATTGGATAAACCCCAAATTATTTCCTAAAAATCCCTAAATTTCCCCAATTTTCCTTAACCCTAACTGTCACTTTCCACAATCGATTCCCTGTCATCCGACCATCTCCGACTGCCGTCATCGCCCCTATTCGACGTGTCATCATCCAAAGAACAAATCCCAACCCCCAATTCATCATGAAATGGCATATAACACCACGAAACCCCGTCGAAAGCTTCACATTTTCCCCCCAACGATTATATTTTGGCGATCTCAACCGAACCGACTAGTGTCGCGCCTAACCTCTTCTACCACCTTATTCACCGACATCGTACGACCAAAACCCGATCGATTTAGTCCCTTATGTCGTGCCATCGTTAACCACATTGGGGGTAAGTTGACAGTTTATTTTTAGTAAATTTGATGAGTTATGTTGTGTTTTTGGGCTGGAATTGATAAATTTGATTGTGTAGTTGAAATTAGAGTGATCGACCAGTGATAACGGCCCCTATCGCCATCGCATGAACCACCACACGTCGATAATGCGTAGGGGTCTCCAGCCTGTCCAAGAGAATTCTGGAAACTGTTTCAGGCAGAATCGACCCGCCTGCCCGACCCGTTGACTGTTGACTTTGACCGGAAAAATTAAATTTTTTGAAAAGCCTTATTTTATTTTTTCGACGTCCTGAGCTCGATTTTGAAGTCTGTTTTGCCAAATTCTAACCTGAAAGCCTCCAAATTGATCGTCAAACCCAAATATGCTTTAGTAATTAAATGTTTTAATTTTGGAAAAATTAAAGTTGCCCTATGGACACAGTTCTGGGGAACTGCATATGGTGTAAGGGAGGAGGGTATACTATGTGATTTAATATCTTATGTTTTATCAGGATTTCAATGATACTTTATTGGACTATTACTTTATGATTTTTCATATTATTTTTTATTGCACTAATGGAACACACTGAGCCCCTAGCTCACTTTTCAAATTGTTTCCCCCTTTTCAGATACTTGTGGATAGACACCGATTCGGGCACTCGGAGGATCAACACTTTATAGAAGAACTTTTTGTTATAATGTTTATATCTTCCGAATTGCTTTTAATTATGTGATGTGGGCATTTTTTTACATACTCATTTTATGATGATGATGATAATGTTTATGGATTTTGCTATTGTACTTTAGATTTATGACATGTTTTGTTTATGTTAATGTTTTTTAGTATTATATTTACGATTTAATCTTTTATCGTTATTTATTTTACTTTTATAAATGTTAATTGTAATATGGTTTTAAATTATCGAATAACGTTTTAGAAAAATGTTTTAAGAAATTTTAATGTAATTCACTAGACTTAGTCGAAACACATAGGCTGGGTCTAGGAGTTACACAAAGCAAGTCATTGCTGAAGACTACGGTGCATGAAAACCATCAGCCTTCCCTGTTGAAACCCCGACTGCAGTAGGAGAGTCTGTTTCACAGTCGTGGTCCTTAGCAATTTCCTTTCGTGTTATAACTCTATACTACAAGTCACCCAACTATTAATGCTTTTCTTCTTTCGTCGTCATTTTTTTTGGGTAAGTTCGTAATTAAGGTTAAGTTTTTTTTTAAATTTTAATCATCATCATCAAAACAAGTCATTTGATCACTTAAAACTTCATAAAAATTATATATTCTATCAATTTGATATTAATTCAAAATAATTCATCAAATTTACTCATGATTTAAATATTTGAATCAAATCCTAAATTTCTCATCACTCTTTGTTTATCTTCTTCTTTAACTAAAAGAATTTTCTTTTTGCATGTTTCTCTTCTTTTTCTCAAAATAAAAAACAGTTGAGCTTCGAATATAAAATGAGAAAATAGAGTACAAAAGCAGGTGGGGGAATAAAGGATTCCATTTTTTTTTGTTTTTAATTACTGATCATTTTGTGTTTAACCCATTTTGAAAATATCATTAGTTTGTATATCTTATTCGAAGGTTTGATTTTTTGTGTCATTGAGAAATTTAAGTTTTTCTTAAATTTCTCTTTTGTAGATTTTTCACCAAACTTTTGTTATATCAGATCATCTCTATGTTCATTGAAATTTTAAGGTACGGTGATCAAACTAAATACCATAATAGTTAAATGACAAATGATGTAATTTATCCTTTTTTTTAATAATATAAGTTCTTGCCACCCTCTATTTTGTGTTTTTTAATACAAAGTTGTTAGCTTCTCTACGTTGATGAATAACTTATTGTTAATTTAAGTATTTTCGTTGGAGTTCTGGGCTTTGTTCATCTAAGGGAGGTTTATGCAATACCTGGCCGTGTAGAAAAAAAAAATAATCTGACACCGTTAGTTGAGTTGAACGACGATATTTTATGTTAGAGGTCGAACTTTTAAAATTTTAAGAGATAATAAATTTATAAAATTTTAAGGACGAAAATATATTTTTAATAGAATATACATAGAAAATAAAAAATATATATAATTATTTTAATGTTTAGGGGCGGGTGCTTCCACCCGCCCCTTTGGACCATCTTATTTCCTCGTTTAATTTGTGTAAGTCCATTTCGATCCCTTTGATTTCTTTCTCGTTGTTTCTTTTCTCATTCCTTGGAAGTTCCACTTTGCATGCATGAAGACTGTCACAATTGTAAGAAGGTGGTGAAATTCCAGCCATTTAAGATTTTTCTTTTAAAAAAAAGTTCTTGAGGAAGTTTGAACTTGGTACACACCAATTACTTATTGGGCTGCCACACTGTATTCATGGCGGTTGAATGCATTTTGACTCTGTGGAACAATATGGGAAAGTTACCCCTTTTCATATTCTTCAGAGATTCAAGGTATTCTTCATTTCCCAGATAGTATTTTTATTTTATTTTTTTCTTTAAATCTGCCATATCCTTCTGCAAATTTAAACGTTGTGCTTGTTGCTCAAGCCTCAAGCCTTAAATGGAAATAATTTGCTTCTGGTTTAACCTATTTGGAAAAGCTTAAAACGATGATCATGGTTGAAAATTTAAACCCAGATTTCCATTTCAAACCCAAAAAGGAAGTAAAGTAACACATGATCACCATCGATCTGAACATCACTTGGGCAGTTTTGTTACTCTTTGATCATAATAATTTTGCAGGAATGTTCTGAAAAAGGATGAACTAGGCATAGAAATAGCGAACATAGGATTACCTGCAACATTTGCTTTGATGGCAGATCCTATTGCTTCTCTAATAGACACAGCATTCATTGGCCGCATAGGTTTGTGCTCACTTTCTTCTACCATGATTGTGTGATACATTTATTATATCATTGTTATTGCAGTGTATATATGAGACTTGTACACTTTCAAAAATAAAGTCAGCTTATTTTTAGTCTATGTTTATCATATTCGGATCTGCGTCGCATATGGGTATGTTCATTATGATTCTGGAAGATAGGCATCCCGAAGATGATATCACTACAGGGTCTGTCAATTTATAAGTTCTGTTCATATAGTTTCTGAATCATCAATGTCTTGGTTATCTGTTTCGATATGTAGCTGATATTTGCGATTCTCAGATACCATTTAGTTACTCTATACGATTATGAATGCGTGAGATTTCATTAATGATCCACTTCCGAGTTAGTAATCAGTTAATAAGATTTGATTTCATTCTATACATATAAATCTTATCCTATAGGTGCCATGGAGTTAGCTTCTGTAGGAATTTCGGTTGCAATTTTTAATCAAGTATCAAGGATTACCATGTTCCCACTAGTCAGTATTACCACTTCTTTTGTTGCTGAGGAAGAAGCTACTATTAAATCTACTTCTGAAGCGGAAGATTATGAAAATGTTGGAAGTAATCAAGATTTTGGCCTGGAAATGGTGCCTCTAACTGGTATGCTTTCTACATTCGCTCTCCCTGGGCTAATCTGAGTTTTGATAAATTGCATTCTTAGACAAGGTTCACTTGCATGAGGTTCTTTCACCATCTTGATTATATCTGCTACATTTAGCATGTTTTGGCCCATCTATAATTTTATCATTGAGAATATAAATGTCATTTGTAGGCAGCAGTGACATGAAAATAGCCAAATCCGAGGACAATAGAAGACGTGTACCATCAGCATCTTCAGCTCTGGTTATTGGTTGCATGCTTGGAATACTTCAAACTTTGTTCCTTATTTCCACTGCTAAACCTCTCTTACGTTACATGGGCGTAAAACCTGTGAGTGTTCATTTTGTCTACATTGGATTAGCCTCTTGAAGTGAACTTACCCTAATTGGTCCCCGAGAATCTAAACTGCTGCATCTCTAATATTTCTCTAATTTGATTAGCTTTCTACTTTTCTCTTAACAGCAATGATACTGCTTTTGCTTTGTCCAGGAATCTCCTATGCTCAAGATAGCCCAACAATACTTGACATTACGATCACTCGGTGCTCCAGCTATTCTTCTTTCGTTGGCTGCTCAGGGTGTTTTCCGGGGATTAAAGGATACTAAAACTCCCTTTTATGCAATCAGTAAGCAAGCTTCCGTTATAATTAATTTGATTGTGCTGGAAATCAAAAGCAGCTTGTGGAGATTTATTCAGACAATCCCCTTGAAAGGAATTCATTGAACGGGACTATTTATTATTTGAAAAATATCATTTCCATGGAGTTCAATGGATGTTTACATTGCACCTCCATCTGCAGGATCTATTAAAGGCTGCCATTGCAAAACCAATTTCATATCCTACTTGTCCTTTCGGATTATCAATCATGCATTATGAACGCGAAACATTGTCATACAAGGAAACTCATTATATATCATAGTTTGTGAGCAAACTACCCCTAATAGTTTTTTTTGCAATTTCTAATGCAGTCATTGGAGACTCGGTGAACATTCTTCTCGACCCCATATTCATATTCACACTTCGTTTGGGGGTCAATGGTGCAGCCATCGCTCATGTAGTTTCTCAGTAAGTTATTTTCTTTTTGTTGCGTCGGCCCTATCATCTGTCTGGTCTTTTAATGTGTATTCATCTGGTTAATAACTTAGTGCATTGTATTTGTAGGTATTTAATTTTTATCGTACTCATTTGGAGATTAGTTGAAAATGTCATTCTATTGCCTCCAAGTTTTAAAGAGTTACAGTTAGGTCGATTTCTTAAAAGTGGTGAGTGCTTTAATTATGGTTATTTAACGAACTCAAAAGGATGTTTGATTGTTCGACGTAAAATTGAATTCAATCGTTTCAGTTGGATTTTGTAATCCAGTTTTCTTTCCAAATGATTTATCTGCTGGGAAAAGGAAAATGATATAGAACACTTGCAGGACTATGATATATTTGATGTCACCAATTCAGGATTTCAGCTATTGGTTAAGGTAATATCCACAACATCTTGTATAACCCTGGCGACTTCATTAGTGGCTAGGCTGGGGCCAAAACCAATGGCTGCATTTCAGGTTTGCTTGCAGATGTGGGTGGCAACCTCTTTGCTTGCCGATGGACTGGCTGTTGCAGCACAAGTAAGATTTTATTTTAATTTAATGAACCACCTTTACATTATGTTTGCCCCCCTACATATTTTTACAAGTTCTTCTCCTTGGAAGTTGGCTTTGTTCGGAACCAGTCAAAATCATGATCTTCCTTGCTTTCCCTTCATCTCTTTAAGCCATAGAATATGTTGATTACAATAGTAGAGATGTGGTTGGTGGACTCGAATATGGTGGCGTAGGTCCCTTGTATGGAAGGTATTTTTTTAGATCTAATACGGATGCTCTAATATGGAGGGGGAAAAGAGCCCTCCAAAGACCTATTGAGAAAGGGGAAGAAAATCGTTTTTTTTGGGGAGGAGAGGGGGAAGTTAAAGCATAGGGTGGTTGTTGAGTGTAATTGATGGGATTCAAATAGGTCCACGAATATTATTTATTATTTATTTATTAGAGGTATAACACTTGTTCCATCTTAATCGAGAAAGCGTTATACATTGATTCTATTTGAGAGTGTTTATTTCCTACGCACCACATGGACAGAGTGAATTTGAGACATCGTTTGTGTTGGTAAAATCTTGATAGGATTGTGGGGAAGATGAATGGTTCAACCCCTATGATTTGGGTGGAGAATCGTGCCGAACTCTTATGACGCTCTGACATTAAGCATCAATTAAGAGCTTTCGAAAGACCAATATGATGAATAGATACCTTAACAATTTATAAACGATTATTTTGTTAATTTAGCACCACGTAGAGAATATCAATATGACTGAAAATTTGGTAGGTGCAACCACCATGATCATCTTAACATAGAGATTTCATTAAGGAGGCGTCTCACACTGTGAAAACTAGACAATCAATAGTGGGATGTGACGATTTATGATCATCCCAAAAAAGGCATCTCACTTTATGAAAACAAGGTGACCAACGGAAGGATCTACCAGTTCATGATCATCCCAACAAAGGGGAAGAGAGCCCTTAGAGACAGTCATAAAATGATTTTTGATGACTGACTATTGATGGGGGATTCAAATATATTATTTTTAAACTTCAACATATTTCTTACCTTTTCCAGGCAATCCTTGCAAGTGCATTTGCGAAGAAAGATTATGAAAAGATAGTGGCTGCTGCTTCTCGTGTGTTGCAGGTATTAACATTACATTAACATTAAACTTCACTTGTTTCACCTTTGCTTCATGCTCTAAATTCTCCTTATCATATCTATCTTCAGATTGGTCTTCTTTTGGGGCTTCTGCTATCATTTTTTCTAGCAGCTGTATCACAACTTGCTTCCACTTTGTTTACCAAGGATTCCGATGTTTTGAACCTCATGAACATCAGCTTTCCGGTATAGCCCCCTTAATCAAAATCATAACAACATTTTTTGGCTTAATATAAAGTGTTCCAACTATATCGCTTTTTCATTTAGGTGTCTAAATTTTTTTTAGTCAATGTAGGTGTCTAACGTTACCAATGTTATCATTTTAAGTTTCTCGACTATTACAAAAGTTAAAAAAAATTGTTATCTTACATGTCTCACATTTATTTTCTTTTCTTGAAAATTTTATTTTAAAAAATTAGTATTATTTAAAAAAAAGCATAATTTCTTTTTGTAAAACCTCGAAGACACCCTAAAATCCCTTATTATCGCCGTCCGTCACCAACATCGTTGATCGGCCACCACCAATGTCACAAATGAATATGGAGGCAACGTGGTTTCCACCCAAAGGTTCATCAGTCATTATTGATTGTGGTTTAAGGATTGAATATTTGAGATTTTAGGGATTTGAGTTTATGAATTTGGGAATTTTGGGGTTTGAAACGACAACGAAGGTGATGATCGGTAAGTGGGTAGGCAACAACAAATTATTGACCGTTTGACGATGGATGGCTGGAGATGATGGAAAACGAGAGTACTTGGGATTATAATTAGGGATTTTAAGAATTTCATTTTTTTATATATATATATATATATATATATGTTTTTTAATAATAATAATTTTAATTTTTTTTAAAACTATTTTTTTTTAAATATATAAATGCGACATGTGTCATATATCAATTTTTTAACTGTCGTGATGGATCATCCACTTAAAATGGTGATGTCGAAAACATTAGACACCTATAATAATCGGGGAAAAATTACTTAAATGAGAAAATATATATAATTTGAGATGCTCCAGTTTTATTTATTAAGACATATTATTTTCTTTGTTAGAATACTAACTTGTTGGGTCATCAACATTTTCTTGTGGATTAAGGTCATTGCAGTAACTCAACCTATCAATGCTTTAGCCTTCGTTTTCGATGGAGTTAACTACGGAGCTTCCGATTTTTCATATTCAGCCTACTCCATGGTTAGTTCAATTCCAACCTGCATATAAACAAAACCATAATATCCAACAGCTTTTTCTATCCCATTTTTCTTTTTCCTAGGTTGCGGTTGCAGTCGTGAGCATCTCCTGCTTGTTCATACTATCCTCCAGCCATGGCTATCTCGGCATCTGGATTGCTTTGACCATCTTCATGTGTTTACGTGTGTTTGTTGGTCTTTTGAGGTGATAATTCAACTGTGGTTTCATTTATCTGATTCTGAGAAATTTCAGTATGATTCTAACACTTCCAATTGTTCTTCAGGATAGGAACTGGTATGGGACCTTGGTCTTTTCTCCGGAGCTGAGTGCTTCAAATGCATTATTTCGTTGTTTAGGAAAGACGAGGGATTGTATATGTATATAAATATATCAGTTTGTTTTACTATTCTATTTTAATACAGATTTTAATTAGTCAAGAGCTCCTCATCAACTAACACATGCAACTCAACCCAACTTGCTTCTTTATGGTATGCCTTGCAATCAAAACAACTATATTTTGGCTCAACATATGCATGCAAGTGAAACTAAACTTCACCGATCAAGTACATATTATTATTATTTATTATATTTAATTAATTTGATATTCAAATTACTTATTGATCTAATATTCGATCTAATATTTAGATATTATATATATTTTTTAAATTTATTTTAGATATATAAAGTTGGTAAAGTAATAAAAATAGAATCTAAACTTCACCAATCAAACTTCAAATTTCTTTTACTTTAACTTTCTTTCCAAGCAATCTATGGTTTCCCTTCACCTTATAATCCCTTCAATTTCCCGTTGTTTCCATTGCTAAATCAACACTTTCCAACGATGGTGATAACTAAGCAAAACATAGACCTCATCTTCACTCTCTCATTTCTCTTCTTTTTCCATCTCCATTGCTCAATAACTTCAGCTCAAGCTCCGGGTCCGGCACCGGCACCGGCACCTATGCCACCCGGTCCGCCGGACGTCACCAAAATCCTCGGAAAAGCCAGCCAATTCAACATCTTCATTCGTCTTCTAAAATCCACCCGAGTCTCCAATCGTCTCCTCGGTGAGCTCAACAATACGGACGATGGGAAGACGATTTTCGCACCGACAGATAAAGCTTTTTCGAGCCTGAAATCCGGTGAGCTGCATTCACTCAACGATGAACAAAGGGTTGCACTGGTGCTATATCATGTCGTCCCAACTTACGTCCCATTATCCCAATTCGTAATCATTAGTAACCCTATGAGAACTGAAGCTGGAGAGAGTGGCGACGGTGAGTTCCCTCTCAATGTCACCACTGCAGGGAAAACGGTAACTCTAATGACGGGGCTGACGAAATCCAATGTTGCCGGCACCATTTCCGCCGATGGTCAGCTTGCTATTTATCGAGTGGATCAAGTGCTACAACCTTTGAAAATCTTCGCTCGTAACTCTTCAGCTCCTGCACCTGCACCTACACCGGGAAAGTCTTTGATGGGAGGTGATGTTGGTGAGAAGTCTGAAGCTTTGAGCATTGGCATGCATAATTTAGCTTTGCTTGTACTCTGTGTTACGACTTTCTTGCTTTCTTCGTGATGGGGAAATTTGGGTAGCTCAATTTAATGTGGGTGATTTTCTCCACGGATTGTGATTTAATTTCTTTGTGAGTGCTTGTTCCCTTCAACCTCCGCCAATAATATCTGTAAAAGAATTCTCTCTTTTTTAATGCAACTCCTACTATTATTGAACCTATTGATAAGTGATCTCAATTATAAAGACTATTATTCTTGTTAATTTCTAGAAATTCTTTACATTGTTCATATTTTTGTTTAAAATTTTAGACATCATAGGTTTCATCATCAGGGAGTTTATACTAAATACATATATATGTGTGTGTTTCTTTATTCTGGATAACAAGATTTTTGTTCTAACCACTACATTAATGTGTTTCTCATGTCCAAGTAATATGCTCAGGGTACCAGAAAGTGCTTTAAACTTAGAGAGAAAAAAATCCAAAAACTTTCTTTTTTTGATAAAAATGAAGGCCTCGATAAAAACCGCCTTCATAACCGTCAAACAACAAAGACTCAACGGACATTGGAAGGAGGAAAAGAATGTTTTAAAAATTTTATTGCATAAGAACCAAGTACAATAAGATCATACGACCACCCAAAATCGATGGCAGCCCACTCAACTCATTGATATAATATTAGGTCCAATACAACTTTACAACAAAATCATGGTAAAAGAATTATAATATCTAGTATATTTATATATTCACATGCTATTAACAGGTGCATCGCATTCAAAATTTCATAATTAATATCGTATTCAATAATTGACATTACAAGTATTAAACAGGCTAACATAATATAATAAATAACCCTGTATTATTTATCCATGATTAATAAAAGCAAATTGATAAGAACACGAATGAGAACAAATATAGTAAAAGGAGAAATATGTATTATTTTCTCAAATATGAATTGTATATAATAATTTCTTTAAACTTTATATTTATAAACCTAAAGAATAAATATAATATGGAACTCTAACTTCAATGGACATTAAAAATTTAATAATAAAATATATCAAAATTTCATTTAATACATAATATTTAATCATAATAAATACATATAAACAGTTATTTATAACCATCATTGATTTAAATATTACTATATTAAGAAAACCTTGCAATTTAACATTTAAAAAGTTAAAAGGTAAATATAAAAGCTTTATTCGTTTAATGCACGAAATATAATTCCTAGAATGTCGGAGAGTGGATAGAGGCTGTCCCAATATTATTATGTTCAGATTTTCTTTTCTTTATTTTTCCCGCAAGGAAGAAGGAAATTTGAGCTGTTTCCGGGCGTTTCAACTTTCATTTCGCGGTTTCTACCTGGACCCACGAAATCCGAAAGTAGCTTCTTTTCCGGCAAGAGAATTGAACTTAGGTTCTGGGTTCACGGAATTACAACAATGGGGACGCCGGAATTCCCTGATCTCGGAAGACATTGCAGCATTCAACATTGCAAACAGATTGATTTTTTGCCTTTCACTTGCGATCGCTGCAATCTGGTAAGCCATCATTTTCTCCTTCTCTCCAGTTTTGTATCCCATATATGAAAAATGTCTCATTTTGATTATTCACAATCAAGACTTTCGAATAAATCATATCGGGCTTAAGCTTTGAATTCTTTTGGTGAAGTTTCTCCCTTTTCTTATTAATGGAAACAGTGCTATTGCCTGGAACATCGAAGCTACATTAAACATCAGTGTCCAAAAGGTGACAACAACGGTGTCACCGTCGTCATTTGCCCGTTATGCGCCAAAGGAGTTCGCTTGGTTCCCAATGAAGATCCCAACATCTCCTGGGAATCACATGTTAATACCGAATGCGATCCGTCAAACTACGAGAAAGTTGTCAAAAAGAAAAAATGCCCGGTTCCTCGTTGCAGGGAAGCCCTAACATTCTCCAACACGATCAACTGTAGGGACTGCGGTGTAGACCATTGCTTAAAGCACCGGTTCGGGCTCGACCACAACTGTGTAGGACCTAAGAAACCCACCGGAGCTCCGGCAACATCTTTATCTAACTGGGTCACAAGATTTCTCAACGTAGGTACTAGTTTTCGTGAAAACCAACAAAGTGGGAGTGACAGCAGCAGCGGGAAAGTGGAGGAATGTAGGCAATGCAGGGTGAAATTTTCGTCGGTGACGGCCTTGGTAGAGCATGTTAAGAAGGTGCATGAAAAGAACAACCAGTCTCGAGTTCTAAAGATGTCCATTGATGTGTGCCCCAAGTGTAGTAAGGGGTTTCGTGATCCTGTCGCCCTTGTAGAGCATGTCGAGAGGGATCATGGCGGTACTTCCAGAGCTTGAAAAAAGGTTTGATTTCATATAGTGAATTCATTATTCTTTTGTAATAATTTAAAATTTAGGGTCAAATGCAAGTTTTCATTATGGGAATCTTGTATATTGTACATGTAGAAGAGAATCATTAAAAATGGAAACCTTTTCGGGGTTCCTCTTTGCCATGCTATACCATAAAAAAATCAAACAATCTAACCCTATAAATACAAGGTTCACTTTGGTTTGTATAGGCAAAAGAAAATGAAGTTCAAAAATAATCTAACAAAATGGCATCAATTGTCTTCAACTTGATCTTTTACTTCTGTCACCGCCAGCAATAGTGTTGTTATGCCTCTTTCGTATCTTCTCTACAAGTTGCATTTTCATTAATCGATGTCTTTGAAATAATTTTTTAACTGATCAAAACCTTAAAAACTCCTAGAAGCCTTCAGAGTTCTATATCCTTCATACAACTACAATCTAATAATATGATCATTTGTTAATTCATGTGATCTGTCAAAGTCAAATTTGCTATTAACAATAATATCTATAAGCATTATCATCCTACAAAAAGTTATAATGTTTGTAGACCCGACACTAATACTAAACGTCATGGTATAAATCATTATGTAAAGTTGGAGAAAGGATTTAAATTTTTTCTCTTGCGTTCTCTTTACTTTTATGAGTTACCTAAACAATTGATGATGACTCTCCGTCTAAACCAGAATAATAAATCGCTTTTAGTCATTGCAGACACCATTTTTTTATATCAAAAGGTGTCTATTCTACAATCAAACACTTTAGGTTGTTGAAATCTACGTTCCCGAAAGATATAGTTGCAATATAAATATAATCCAAGCTTTGATCAACTAGGCTATGGCTACCAAGATCGTATCTAGGCTTGGGCAGGAGGGGCACCTGCCCATGGCCCAGTTATGATTATATTTTGAAAAAATATAATTTTATATCAGTTACAGGTCTAATTATTTTTAATACTTGTTATTAAGAGCATAATTTTTCTTCAATATTTATTATTATGAGTTCAATTTTTTTCTAATATTTATTAGGGTAAAGTATAATAATGGTCATTGAACTTTTCTAAAGCTTTCATTTAGGTCCCCCAACTTTTAAAACTTGCAATACAGTCCTTCAACATTTAGTCCGTTTGCAATATGGTCCCCAACAGTTACGTCGGAAACAATATTGCAAATGGAGTAAATGTAGGGGGACCATATTGCAAATGGACTAAATGTTGAGGGACTGTATTGCAAGTTTTAAAAGTTAAAGGACCTAAATGAAAGCTTTAGAAAAGTTCAGTGACCATTACTATACTTTACCCTTATTATTATTATATTAAGCTTAGGCTTAGCCGCTTAGCTATTAGAATCGAGTTTACCCCGTATTTTATTAAAATTTAATTTTAAATTAAAACTATTATAAAATTTAGTCTCATCAGAATCCAATGAGCCACCCTAATCTCTTTATAAATTAAATATTGTTATTGTATAGGGTTTCCTCTTTATTTTTTTAATAATATTTTTAATCATTCTATTTAAAAAATTAAAAATACTTTTAAAAACAATTTTTAATTAGTCATAATCTTACAAACATCTAAATTAAAACCAATTGCGGATTAATATATTCAAACTTATAACTTATAAAAGATTCTAATTTTGTCAAAAAAAATATATTCTAATTAAATTAAGATTCAACTAGTACAGAGCTAAATAAATAATGTAACTCAATTTTAAGATCTCTTAAATAACATTTTGAAAAATTTCAATTAATCAAAAAATTATTATTTTAATAATTTAATATATAAAAATGTTTAATAGTATAAATTAAATCTACAAATTAATTTTTAATTAAACTTTATAAAATTATTAACTAGATAAAAACTACTTATCACATAATACAAACACCTTTTGTTTTCTTTTTCTTTTTCTTTTTTAATTATATTATCTTTTAAAATTTATATTTTATCAAATAATTTAATTATATTCAATATTCAATTTTAATTATACTTTAAAATCAATATTTAATTTTTCATTATGTCAAAAACACGAATAGAATTTTGATTAGTAGATGATAGGCGGAGCTAATTATTTTTTTAAGGAAAAAAAAAAGATGAGATTCCCATTAAGACTTATAAAGAAACAATAAATAATAATAAATAATAAAACAATAAAAACATATATAAAATTAATAATAAAAAACAATAAATAATAGGGTAAAGTATGTAATGATCATTGAACTTTTTTAAAGCTTTCAAATGTTCGTTTGCAATATGGTCCCCGACGTAACTGTTGGGAGACCATATTGCAAACGGACTAAATGTTAGGGGACTTTATTGCAAGTTTTAAAAGTTGAGGGACCTAAATAAAAGCTTTAAAAAAATTTAGTGACCATTACTATACTTTACCCTATTTATTATTAGGGGCCTACTCTTATAATTTATTTTTTCTAATATTTATATAAGTGTCTAATTTATTTTGTCAATATATTTTTTCTAACATTTGTTATTAAGGGTCTAATTTTTTAATACTTATTATCGGGGCCTAAAATTTTCAATATTTGTTATTAAGAGCATACTTTTAAATTTTAATTTTTTTTCTAATATTTAGTTGTTGTTATGAGTCTAATTTTTTTTAATACTTTTTATTAGATGTCCAATTTTTTTAATATTTATTATTTATGAGCACACTCTTAAAATTTATTTTTCTTTAATTTTTTTATTAGGGACC